GAAACGTTGCTACAACTTTAAAAGCACAACTACTATGACGTGGGAAAATACCCAAACAAAGCTGAATACCATACATGTAAGTACCCGCGAAAACTTAAGAGTGTATATATATATATATGTATATATATATATTCATATTCTTACACTCATATTAATATAGGTGGGAAAATATCTTAATGAATTTGTCATATATTTGAAATAGAGTGTGTAAGTTTAACTTTGTTGATTGATTTATTGATCAGGATAAAGAATAGAATATAAATAGATAAGTGTTTAAGTTAGTAATTTATATCATATAAGATATTATTAATTTACATTATAGTAGTTAAATTTGGATATTAGAATGGATTATGTGTCTTATATTTTTTTTAGATTAAATAGTATATTAAATATTGATAATTATATATCAACACAATGTGAAATAATGTAGAGAATTAATCGATTGCTCTACAAAGTGTATCATAAGTGGATATCTTATTAATGAATTTGGATTTTTCGGAAAAGGATTTAGAACAGTGATTAAGAGATGATCAAAGGGTGATACTGAGATGAGTTGAATATTGAAAGATAGGTTGAATATTGAAAAGATAGAGAAACTAGATGGAGCATAATTATAGAGAATCGTGTATAGAGAATTAAGTTAAGTACAAATTAATTTCAGATTGGCTAAACAAATTAAAACTTTAAAAAATAGTATTTAAATTACTGGATCTTAATTTGGGATAACGTATAAAAAAAATTAAAAAACAAAACAAAATCTTCAAATAAATGATGAGTATCACTAACAACGACACTGAAGGCCGCGGGAAAAACAACAGCAAACCCATCGATGTCGATTGTTTCTTCAGTGACCCAAAGGTCAATTGAAGGGATGCTTACCATGGAAAAACAAAATACAACATCAAATACACCAAATATGCAAACAACCCTTTTAGCAATTCAGGAAACAATGATTCAATTCCAAGAAACAAAGTCTAAAAATAATGCTGAAATGAAAACAGAGATAGGTGAAATGAAAAATGATATACACAAATTAGATGAAAAAAGGGGCTCAATTCAACAGGGAATAGAAAAAAATGAACAAACAATAAGAGCTGTGGCAACAAGAACGGAACAAACTGAGAAGAAACTTGAGTTGGTGGATCAGAAGATGATAGAATTAAACAAAGACTTAGAGGATTCTCTCATCCATTTGGAGATGAACCACACAGCCTTTGATCTTAAGATTTCAAAATGTTACAGAGACAAAAAAGGAGGACCTAGAAAATGATAATGGCTGAAATAATAGTAGAACTTCTGCAAAGAGATAAGCATGAAATCCTAAATGAATTGGATGGTGTAATACAGAGTTCATACAAATTATGCCAGAAGGCATAGGTTATCGAGAGAAGTGCATATTAGGTTCACATGAAAGAAAGTAAGAGATATAATTTATAAAATAACAAGGGATGAACTGATGATGTACAAGGAAAAGTAGGTACAAACTCTGAAACAGATTCCGAGAAGGGTGAGAGAACAAAGACAGGACTAGCAGATTTAGCAGATTGGGAAAATATTTGGAACAAAAATTAACAAGATCAGAGCTCTATAAAGAAAATATGTACAAGATGTTTTATCGTTGGCATTTGCCACCAATGAGATTGGCCAAAATATACCCTAACATAAATCCGACATGTTGGAAATGCAAACAGAATCAAGGTATCTTCTATCATATGTGGTGGTCATGGTGGCCTGGAAGCCCAAAAATACTGGACTAAAATATGGAGATGGATACAAGAAATAGGGAAGATCGAATAGAGTTTAAACTGGAGTTGTTTTTGTTGGGAATAATTAAAGGGAAATTTCGGAAAAAGATTGAATACATTTTACTACATACAGCAACAAGGATAGTATATGCACAATGCTCGAAATAAAATAATACACCCTCAGAGGAATTAGTAATTCAAAAAATTCTAGATTGTGCTGAAATCGATAAATTGACATTAAAATTAAAAGATAAAGGAGAGTCAGAGTATTATGAAATTTGGGACAATTGATATAAATGGTTGAACAATAGAAATAAAGACAACGGAGATAAGAAAATTATATATAAATGTAGATATTTACATGAGATTGCTTTATATAATAATGATGGCACAGAACTGTTAAAACTATTAAAACATGTAAAAGTTGAAAAAGAACAATAAAAATTATTGGGGGGGTGGGGGGGAGAAATGCTTCTCCTTTTGCATTTGAGCATCCAAAGAAGGGACAAGAAAGACAAGAGAAAGAAGGAAAGTTAAGAGAAGAGAGAAGGAAAAAGAAGGAAAGAGGGGAAGGAAGAAGAAAGGAGAATGAAGAGGGAAGGAAAAAGAAGAAAAGGGAACAGAAGGAAGGAAGATTATAATGAGAGAGAGTAAAGGTCTGAGGTAAATCCTGCCTTATCAGGTGGCCATCAGCAGCCTTGCTGCTTCCTGTTGCCACCCCCTTGCCACCTCCTCCTGACCTTTCCTGGTGGTCTCCCATCCTATTGCTGAGAATGCTTTAGTTACAAAACCAAGGCTCCTCGCAAGGAGGGAGTGGGCCTCCATCTGACCAACACATTTTGCCCTCCTGCACACACCATGAGCAACCTGGCCAAGGAGAGCAACCACAGCAGCAATGGGAGCTGGCCATGCCTACCCCAGCCATACCCATCCTAGCCATGTCCACCCTGGCCCCCCTGAAGTCAACCACAATCTTGATACGGCCCTTAATGAAATTGAGTTTGACACCCCTGATCTAATACAACTGACTTATAAAAGGAAAGCTTTTGTTCACTTCCAAATACATTTTTCTGTGCTCTATCCACAATGTTCACTACAGTCTCTTTATTGTTAAAATCCATTAGTTCATTTCTCTCATATAAAAAAAGGCAAAGATGAAGCTGTATTCAGGACTTCTGCATTCTCATTGCAACTCTTTTATTGTATCTACATGTTGAGAGGAAAAAGTCTGAAATGAGAAGAACATTCTATATGTAAATTCCATGTAATTTAGAACACAAGTTATATAGAGGTCTAAAATCTGTGTGGGCCTACACATATAAAACAATGCATGGGCATTGACTAAAAGGGAGTGAATTTTTCTAACAACTGAGATGTGAAACCTGAGGTGGTTCTATTGACCTGTATGAAAATGATACAGAATTCTTTCATTGAATAATATATGTCTTTGTTTGCTCATAATATTTATAAATATTTTTAGGCCTGGTTGCAGTATGCCAGAAATTTGGGACATAGAAGATCTTGCCAATATCGGGAAAATTCCTTTATGCAATCTCATGTGCAAAGATTCCAGGCCATACTTCAGGACAGTGTTCAACAATAATATATTCAAAATATTGGAAGTTACCAGAGAATGATTCTTCAGTACTGTATCATTTTTGGTAGTATATGTTTTAAATCAGCATTTATTTGTTTTCTTGAAAAAAATTCTGCTTGAATTTCAAGACCATTAAAAAATAAAAATAATTGATGTTAATTACAGGCAACATTAGATTTGACTTGCATTCCAGATTATTCAACACTCAAGCTTTTTATCATTTGAAGCAATTGAAGCTCTGTACCCATGTCATTGGAAGACGTCCTTAGCAATCCAATTGTATTTATTGAGAAGTAATGTCCAGTTGAAAAAAGATAGAAATAATTTTAGTTTGGAACTATAGGCTTTCTAAGATGGAATACTACTCTTTAAAATATAAACAGTTAACATTTACCTTGGCCCAAATTTGTCTCTTTCTGGGACAGTTGTTTACAATTTATATGCAAATGTTTATTGCATTTCAACACTTCTTAATAAACATTGATCCTAAGAAATTGAGCAAAAAATATTTGTAGAAAATAATGCCAAAATCAGTGAAATTGTGCAGACAATGATTCCTAGCAAGAGTGTTGCAATTTTAAACCCTGAACGAATAAGAGTTGATAAAACCTAAAACATTTTCTCATATATAGTCATCATTATATTGGTAATTCAATTTCCTTTTCATGCTTTTCCTTTCTGAATAAGCATAGTTTTTTTAAAGAAAGGATGGTTTCCATGACCCTATATTACCATAAATAGCTGTTTACTTTATTAAAACTTATTACTTATTCACTTATTACAACTTGTTTATTTGTTCTGCTTTAAAATTGAGTACCTTAGAATTTACATTGAGCCAGATGATACATCACAAGACAGAATGCTTCTAAATTCTTGTTTATCAAGGCTGAGAAAGCATTACAGTGTATGTGTTAATCTTTACTATTCCTTTCTTTTCTTTTTTCTTTTTCTTTTTTTTTGGTAGAATATTACATCCAAACCAGAATTCCTGATTTGTTGTTTTTTAACAAGCCAAACTTAGAATCCAACATTTATTCTTGGCTTGCTTATTGTCTTGGATCCAATATTCAAGTGATCCTTTTCTGAATAGTTTTTTAAACCCTTTCACTGGTAGCAGAAATAGGGATTCAAGGGATCCTTTTCTGAATAGGTTTTTAAACCCTTTCATTGGTAGCAGAAATAGATGAGAAGTAAACCATGCCAATGTATATAGAAAGAATATATACGCTTCTTCAGTAGTTACTAAAATAGGACTGCAGAAATTCATGCAAATTTATCTGAATTTTTCTACTATTGACATGGTATGATAAACAAAATAAACTTGTTGCATGTGTTAATCTTTTAAAAACAGAAATTTTCCAGGAAAATTGTACTATTTTGCCTTAATGCAATAAAGGATCATTATTAGTTCTTGTACAAAGTTTAATGTAATAGGAAATAACATTTATTCTCTGAGAAATAAATTGTAACCACTTGGGAAAATGCAGTGTAAAACAAGTATGCTTTTGTGTTATTCCATTATACACCTTGGAGTTACTTTATACAACATAAATTCCAATAGCGCAGCAAATTTAGGTAAGTTGAAACTACATTCTCAGGCTCATTTTTATAAAAACCTTCTAATCATTTCTGATTAACTGTAGAGATTATGCATAGTTCCAAAGCTTGGTTGCCATTTACTTTTTTGTCTGGTACTATAGACCATGATTGTATACATTCTGTGTAAGTTTAACACTGCTGAAAAATCTTACATGTTTAACTGAGAATGTTAATGTAGTTTTTTTCCCCCTGACAAAGTACAAAAGGATAAATTTAAATTTTAAAGAAATTTATTTCCCATTGAAGATTGAATCGTAAACTAAGATCCATTCAAAAGGCAGGAAATTGGAATCATTATTTTATACTTTATATTGTAGAATAGAAAATACTGTATTTTTATGGATTTTATGTCAATTGTTGATGTTTACTTTCAAATAAAAGTTTTGTTCATAATTGTGTTTACATAAAAATCATTTCATAAATAGCAAGTATTTTTCTATTATATTATTTTCAAGAAAATAATTGAAAAACAAGTTTAATCTATTTTTATCTAAGGCTGCTCACTAAAATTTATTATACTTACATATTAGAGAAAAGAAGAAAATTTTGGTAACTACATACCGTTTGCATTGCTGATTTATGAATCATATTTAATTATTCCATTGGCAACAATTACAGCAAATATGGCTACTCTTTTAGAAAAGAAACATTTTGAAGAAGTTTGATAGATTTCCTATTTTGAGAATTTGCTTAAAAAATTAACTGTTAGGAGTATACACTTTAGAAGAGAAGACTACTAGTTTGATAAAGCATATGTCTTAATTGTAAATTGATTTACATTTCAAGAACAGTTTTAGAATGTTTTAATTAGAGTATGACTGTAACTTAGTGCTCTATCTTACTCCTGTAAAAGACAAAAATACACTCATTGTATCTGAGGCAGAAAAAAAATATTACAGATTCTGTAGTATTTAAATTCCTAACAATGGGGTTAGTTCATTCTGCTTATGACAGCAGCGATACATACAAAAGAACAGGAAAACACAGAACTCAAGCAACCTAAACCAATTCAATTCATTTCTGCTGTCAATGTGACAAATGCTTCCATTGGCTAAAATGTCCACAAAAGATTTTCTTTGAAGTAACATTGACATTACAGGATAGTCCTTGACTTATGACCACAGTTGAGCCCAAAACTGATGTTGCTGTGAAACATTTGTTAAATGAGTTTTGCTCCATTTTACAACATTTCTTGCCACAGTTATTAAGTGAATAATTGCATTTGTTATGCTAGTGACATGGTTATTAAGTGAATCTGGATTCCCCACTGACTTGTCAGAAGGTTGCAAATCTGATCACATGACCCCAGGACCCTGCAAATATCATAAATATGAACCAGTTGCCAAGCATCTGAATTTTGATCATGTGACCATGGGGATGCTGCAGTGGTTGTAAGTGTGAAAAATGGTCATAAGTCACTTTTTCAGTGCTGTTGTAACTTTGAATGGTCACTAAATGAACTATTGTAAGGACTACTTATATAACACATGGAGATGTGGTATGAAAAGATCTTTGAATGGTATGTAATATTGATTACTCTAAGTGGGGAAGAATATATTGCAACATATTGTTTGCCATCTTACTGGTTGTGAGATATGCACACAAACATATACTGCTGATTCTGTTCAAGTGAAGAGCTTGAACTATATGTGCAATTCTTTTGCTTTAATCATGTATTGAGCTTGAAAGACCAAGACACAAAATAAGACTGGCTGCGCTGAGCAAATGCTCATACAGGGCATCAGGATCACCTCCCTCCCTCATCCCCCATGCCTCCACCTGCTGCCAGTGCAGCCATGCAAGCCTCTCGTGAGCCTCCCATGAGTCAGGCACCCATGCAGACATCTGGATCACCTATCTTCCCCCCACCTATGCCTCCACGCTCGGACTTATCAGTATTTGCACTGTGCCAAGGGGCTGGTGGATCATGATTGCTGCTGGACACTGTCGGCTTCCCTGCTCTTCCTGCCTCCATGCTATTAATCACAGTCCATTTTGCATTTCATACAGAAAAAAGTCTTCAGATTCTTTTAACATAGATGCATGGAGACCTTCAAGTTTGTAGAAAGAGAAAATGGATACCTGAGTGTATGAGGATGGATGTCATGTAGGTATTGAAAGACATAGGAATGAGCACATAGGTACATTAATTAGTAACTTACTTCGGCAGAAAGTTAATATGCAGTATTGATTAGGCTTCCCTCCCACTAATTGATGGTTAAGTTGGGCATCTCTCACAAAATACACATTCTCAATTCTCCCTTCTGTACTATTCCAGTCTCCAATTTTCTCTGGCAGAAAGCAGAGATTTCAGTGCTTCTTCCCCCTCCCAGAGACACATCCTCAGGGAACCTTCTATCCCCTCTTCCTTTTTGAGTGCTAATGCTAATTCAGGACAAGCGAAATTCAAAGGCAAGTTCTTTTGGTGTGGAAAGTGATTGCGTTGCTCTGGCAAAGTGATCAAGTGAGCCAATCAGGTGGCCCCAATCCCTCCCAAACTGACCATATGAAACCACATTAGCTTGTCATGAAACTTGTCATTATTAGATCAATGCAGAGGATAATGATGTTCTAAAAGTGGGGAGGCTCCAGGTGCAGAGCGGGGCCAGACGGATTGCAATGGGCAGGGTCAGGCAAGACTCAATGGGTGGCAGTGGCAGTTCGGCACTGATGCTGGCCAGCCAGGACACTACATCCTAAAAGGCTGGGAAGGCCCCATTCTCAACTGTCCCCAAGGGCCACTTTTCTCCTCTACTTGCATGTGCACCACTTTTCGCTGACCCATGGCTCTATTGAAGGGCTGCACCCAATTGCCCAGCACAGTAACCAGCACATCTCATGCCTCCACAGCACGCAAAGGTTCACACAGCATATTGTCTGCATGCTACATCCAGTGCACAGATTGGCTGCCAGTATAGGGTGTAGGTTTATCTTCTCCAAAATGGTTTTGACAGGATCCATGCATGTGATATATTCAGCTCTGTTCAGCTATAGACTGAATAGAAAAACTGAAAACACACCCCGTCTGGGCCACCACCTCCAGTTCTTCTATTCAGTCTTGGCAGAATAGACACTTACTTTTTGCTCGTCTATACTTTCACATAGAGGGATATTTGTAATACCTTTTTTTGTTAATATTTAATATTTGTTATTTTGGACTATCCACACAACAGTCCTTAAGGGACTATCAGAGCAATAGGCTTTTCGAAGCCTCGGTGCCTTTGATGTCACAAGCCTTCATTTCACAGCTTCTGCATTTACAAAGACTTCTTCCGCTTGGAGCTTACAGGATCATCCCCAAAAACCTGAAATAGGGTTTTGGGGGAGTTGAAGCAACACCTTGTGCCGACTCAGTAGCCTACCCATGTAAGGGAGAGCTCAGTAGTTCATGCACAAAAGACGATTTGTTTCACCTTGTTTCCTAATGCCGAGCAGCTTCCTTGCGATAAACAGCTTAAGGTGAGATCATTCGGACCGAGACCGGAAAGATTACGTATCGAAAAGCCTGTCAGACAGCCTGCCCAGTAAGGAAGAGCTATCTAAGCAGAGCTGTTGGGACTGCCATGATGTGGTTCTGCAATGGTAAAAAATTAACGTGGCAACGGTTAGAATTGGTGGGAGTGCCATTTTGTAAAGGCGACCAGCTTCTAGTCTTAGCAAAGCTGTAGTGCCTGTTGCAAGGAGGCTCCAGTAACGGTTAAAATTGGCGGGAGTGCCGTTTTGCAGAGGCGGCCATTTTCTAGTACCTTCCATTGTGCCTCATGACCAAAAATGGCTGCTTATAGAGCATTATCCTGGAGAGATTTGGAACATTAAGCTAACTAATTACCCTAATTATTGGCAGAATTCTGTTTTCAGGGACAAAGTTTCCAAAATAGACTAATGCTGTTATTAGATATTTTTCTCATAAGATAAAGACACACTAAGTATTTGTTATTTCTGATTTTATTTATTATAGTCAGAGTGCTACTTCGATCTCTCTCAGATATTATGGAGGAGTCTGCTAAATGTGCTGTCTCCACAGCAGATCGCTTCCACTCAGCTGAAAGGTGGGGGTAAAAGATCCTGTAAAACCAAAGGATCTGTACAGGAGGCAGCTGACAAAATCAAAGCCAGGGCCAGAGCCAACAGAAAGACCAGGGCTGATGACCAGGCTGAGCACACACTACATAGTACATTGGCAAAGCAAGTAGAAAAGACTTTAAAAGATCAAGTGAATTCATTGCAATTAAGCCCTCCCAAAGAGGATTGCACAAGTCAGTTCTTTTTTTCTCAAGTGGAATCTGACATGGATGATTTGGGCCAAGTAGCTACTAACATACAGGATTCTGAGATGCCAGGGTGTTCTTATTGGAGTAATTGTGTACCAATGGCTCATTCAGTACCTGGACCTGTACAAACTCAACACACTAAAACAAAAGGTCAATTGATGCCTCTGGTGGTCCAGAAGTGGTTCACACAACTGATTAGGCAAGGAATGATGGGAGGATTTCAGATGACTAAGCCAATGCAGACAGA